TATATATATATATATATATATATATATATACGTATTGTGCTAGTTAAGGTGATTAACTAACGAGCTCCACCTGTGCCGAATTGATTGATTATCTGATCGTGCTCCTCCCGAACCTTGTTAATGAAACATCATATATTGTAGTGTTGTCATTTTCATCTGTTTCTTCACATACTTCTAGGGCTAAATGCACTAAGCAAACAACTGCTAATACATGCATATTAAAACATACTAAAAACAAAAGTGTGGGGTAACATGACAATGAAACTTTAAAAAGCAATCATGGTAAAACTTCAAAATAAAATACAAATGTGACTTATCATTAATTGGCTGAAATTGAAGAAATATAATACTAATCTTGATCAAATTATAATCCTAAATGGGGCATTACAGATATGTATATTAAATATTGCAAAATAATTTAATTGTGAAATAACTGATAAGAAAAGACTATACAGAGTACAAAACAATACTGTATATTTTTTCTTTCATCTTTTAAAGTCAAGACTGCAAATGAAATATTTATTTTGGTTGACACTGTTTGCTCTATATTAAAAAATCTGCTCAGGTGTGCAGACAGCTGTATATGTGGCCTCTGAGAATTATAAAACCAGCCCTGACTTCTCAGATTGACTGAGCTTGATTGTGTGTCCATCATACAAATTAGGCATGTTCACACTTCTATATTATTTAGTATTTTTTTGTAACTGTTGAGAAAAACAAAACTAAAGAAAGGTAATTTCTTGGTTTGTTTTTTTTTCCATGGCTCTCTTCTCAAGGGAATGGCACTTCATGAAATATTATTACCTGCAGCCTATAACGTGTGGTTCCCACCTCCCTTATGTTTTTGGCTCTGGAACTGAGGTGCTACGCTTTGTGGGTGGATTTAGCGCCAGACGCTGCTAATGCAACCTAATAGCTTGACTATTAAAACTGTCAACTGTTTAAAAAGTTCATAGGAAGGTTAAAAATATGCTAGATTAAAGTCACCAGTTAATCGTCATCAGATATTAACTAGGACATTTACATTTATTTGATTATTTAACGGCAGGTGTTATGATGAACCGTAGGTTTTGCCAAATTACTTAAATTGATATTATAACTGGTCACAGCTTTTTCTATGAATAATAAGAATGTTAATAATACCACAATAATACACAATAGTATATAAATCTCTATAAATCTGTTGTTGTAACAGGGCTGACGAGACGTGAGACGTGTGGATCCATCTGCAGGCTTTATTAAAGAGACGTGGTAAACAGGCAGGGTCAAACAATGGCAAACAGGTATATGGCGGGCAAAACACAAGAATAGTCCCAGGGCTAGCGTAGGTCACCGATCGGCAGACAGAATCACAGGGGTGAGACGACAGGGAAAAATCCAGGAAAACAGGCAAAGATCAGAAACCGCGAAAACAGGCAAGGCAAGGCAAGGCAAAACAAGGAAAACTCAGAGACTCGGAATGGGACTCAGAATGGGGTACGGGCTAAACAATACTCAGCAGAGAAAGGTGGTTAGAGTGGGTGTTATATAGTGAGTGAGGTGATTAGAAACAGCTGTGTGCAATGAGTGCAATCAGTGCAGTGTGCAAATCGTGCAAAGAATGATGGGATATGTAGTCCGGGGTGCTATGCAACAGTTTGTGTTGTGCGAGAGTCAATGTAATGGAAAGGGTGACCTCTGGTGGTGAATAAACGGAAGTCCATGGACCGAATTCGTGACAGTTGTCATCTCAAGTATTCATTATTCTTTGTACCTGTGAAGTTAGTCAATCTAAATTGGCAAAGCGATCTAATATTCTAAAATAAGTAATCTGACTTAAGCTAAAAAGCATAAGTTAGCCAAATTTGCATAACCTGGTAAAAATAAATAAATAAATAATACATTAATTCATGTTGAAACCCAGGCTCATTCGAAATACGTGCCTCTAAATACATTTCTTATTACGTACCTTCACGTTTCGCTGCAGTTTCAAAGTGAAATGTCCAGTGAGTGGCGCTAAAACATGGGTTCAATACGTACCAGGGTCACGTTGATATAGGCACGTATTGCTGTGTTTTTATTACTTTGCTTCAGGTACGTATTGCGGAGGTTCATAATTCAAATATCCGGGGAGTGTCACTAAAAGTTAATGATCTATCATGTTGGAAATATCCCCTACACCAAATCCAACCCTAAACCTACCCGATAGTGTTAACAAATGCAAAACTGATATAAAAATGCATTTGTTGATGCAACCATGCCATTTGAACTTCCTTATATGCAGAATTGAAAGGTTTTGTCGAAGCTTAGTTTCAGGGGCGTAGCCATCATTTCAGAAGTGAGGGGGACAGAAATGTTATATATATATATAACATTTCTGTAATCTATATAACCTACAGTCAA